GAGTTGAAGTCCACTCGTCTTAAAGTGGCCAAGTTTGAAAAACACTGCCGTAGAGGAACACAGCTCTTCTTCTGCCATCTTGGGGGGCACCCTCTGCTTCCTCTGCAGTCCAAGTCAAGAGAATGCCAACCAACCTTCTCCCAGACCCCACAGCTGCCCCACTTCACACCTTCTCCAAAAGACAGAACCCCCCAGCCCTTCACTAGCATTAAAACTGGAAATGCAGGGCGGGAGGGGAGAATCTGGAGGCCTGGCACCCACACACGTCCTTCGTGGACTTCCCCTCACGCATGACTCAATGCCGGTCCCAGTGACACCCGCCGAGACCCCCCTGCAGTTCCCATCTCCTCGGTGTTTCGCTCCAAGAGTTCTCCCAAGGTCCAGTGAAGCTTTCCCCAACCTGCCTCTCTCTGCCACCCTCCAATGGGACAAGAGCCAGGGTGAGGCTATGCCAATGACGGGGCCAATCGGCACCCCTACAGGCTCTTCTTCCCTCCCCCTCTTACTTTGCCATCCGAAAAGACCAGGCGCCCTTCTGCTTCTTGGGGAGCATTTCAAAGCCAAGGGACCCCCCCACGCCACAGCCAGAGGACCTACAGCCTGTTTTCATGTGATGGAAATCGGGCTGCAAGAAGGGACCAGGCACTTTCCCTGCGGGCAGGACGGGGTGAGATGGCATCACTTCCTTCTGCCAGCAGTACCCCAGCTTCGAGGGCAGCAACATGCCCCTCTTCCTCCCAAGCAGACAGCACCCTCCCCACCGCCCGAATCAATCTTCCTGCCAGCACCAAGAGTCCCCGCAAATGCAGAGGACAGCTGCCCCGGGGCGCGTCTTGCTTGCTGTTGCCCAAAGAGGAAGCCCGGGGCAGGGGAGGAGGAAGAGCGAGCAGCTGGGCTGGGGTGCCCGACCCAAAGAAACGTCTCTTCCTCCGGATCTGGATCTGGGCACCAGGGAGCAGGTCTCACTGCTTGTGAATGCCCACGGACACGTTTTGGAGCAATGCAAAATCAGGATCGTAAGACGGATATGGAAAAGATATATGTATTAAGAGAAAATACAGAACACCCACAAATCTATACAAATCCCCATGGTGGGGTATATACAAAGCATTCCCTCGGAGCGTTTTCAGCAGAGGGGCGCAGAGGGAGGCACCAATCTCCTTGGCAAAGTCTCATTCTTTCCTTCCAGGGATTCGTCTTCAAAACGGGTCAGTCCAGCGTTCCTGGATAGCCGCCGCCCAAAAAAACATGTTTTTGAGAATTCCGTTTTTCTCTTTGGCAAATATTTATCTTTGCCAAATATTTAACCTCGGTTAAATTACAGTACTTCTGTTGTTATTCTGCCTGCAAGTCTGATGAGAGTAGGTTGTACCACTTACAATTCTCAAAAATTCTATTCAGATTTTGACCCCCAGCACCCAGAAATAGCACAAACAGCGGCAAGAGAAGAAGGACCAGCACCCAACGGATTGTGGAGCTAGGCCTGCCCGGGCCCCACAGATCCCCAGGCAGTTTGTCTCCTCCCTGCTTCCAGAAAGGAACAGTAGCACCAAACTCTAGCCCTGAAATGTTAATATAGGAACAGAAGCCGTGCCCTGCTGGGTGGGACCCCGGCCTGTCTAGCCCATCAGCCTGTCCTCCCAGTAGCCCACCAACTGCCCAAGGAAGCCCCCTGGCCTCCCAGCAGATGGCCTTCGGGGGCAGCCCCAAGGCCATCAAGGCTAAGAGCCGCGGGTCCCCAGGACTTCCATGAAACAGGCCAACCCTTGTTGGAAACCAGTATATTTATGCTCCTTTCTTGTCCCACCCCCAAAACGCTGTGATTGAAAGTCCCTGGAAAAGCACTTAATAAAGTCGTCAGCCACAAAGCCCACCCCACACCCGAAGATTTCTTTGGCTGGTGGGGCTTTAAACACAACAAAAAACATTTTAAGTCAGGCAGAGGGCAGAATGCGCGAACAGGCTCCCTACCTTCCAGAAAGGCGAACTCATCCAGGGCTTCAAGGGCGTTGTCTGCAGGAGGGAAAATGAGCACCCGTTTTTAAAAATTATTATTTACTGTTTGTTGGTATGCTGTTGAATCACTTTGACTCCAGGAGGCTTACAAGAAAATAGAAATATGATAAAAACATCTACTGCATGGGGGGGGGGGGGGGGGGGAGAAGAAAAAAAATAAAAAAATCATGGTAAGTAAAGAAAAAAAATGATATCTTAAAACGTACTCAAACCCACCGGGGCCCAACACAACTAAAAAAGCCAAAAGCAGCAGTAAAACTTGAAAAAGAGAACGAAGAACAGATGGTCTGTTAAGTCAGGAGGAGTCTGGCGGCACCTTTTCCAACCCACAAATTCTGTGAAAAGCCAGAAGCTTCCGTGAGCGGCGACCGGTGGGCCGGAAAAGGTGCCGCCGTGGCTCGGATCCGTTCGGGGAGAGCCAGGCGGCCCGCAGACCCACAAGCAAGCCCGTTTCGTGGGCACCGGAGGACCGGAAGAA